ACAAAGAGAGAGATTTACAACCGATATTGTCTTAAAACACAAAATCTGACATGATAATATTCGCCAAAGACTAAACCACCGTATTTGCTTGATTTATGATAAAGAATACAGGAGTGTTTCATCAAACTGTCCAGAAGTACTGTTATTATTAATTATGTACCCCGTCTAAAACTAATTAGGCACCTAACTACTGACACCAAGCTTATACAATATCCTTCTTACTATTCAAGATAAAGGACACGGTTAGATAATTATTAAAGTCAAACATAACCGAATCATAATTAGAATGTCATATCTAGAAACATTGTTCAAACCTTCGTCATCCTTCCTTCCATAATAAATATTTTCTATTTGTCTTTACTAAGACTAATTTCTAACAAGGAAATTCTTAACCCCCTGCTGGTCTATATTGTTTGCCCTGTTTCTCATAAAAGTCCGCCTTTCCCCTTGGATTATGATACATTGTTGTGGTAAAAGTATCTCCCTCTTTTCGATACACAGGCTGCTGGTTTTTCTTCACATTTTCAAAAATTTCGTTGAAAGCCTGTTTCACCTCTGGAGCAGCTTGGTCCTGTATCCCGATTTTAATCTTCATATTGTGCAGCATCTCATTTCTAAACTCCATCTCGGGTTTGTACTCCAGATAGAGGGGCTGCCCAGGGAAAAGTTTGTCCAACGTTTTGAGCTGATTTTCAAAGTACCAACTGTAAACCGAGTTAAGGGACTTGGTCATGGGCTCAATATTTAGCCCATTGGATCCATCCCCTCTCCCAACTTTTTCTGGGTAGACATGCCCAGCTATGAATTTCTCTGGTTGGATCTTGTCATCCAATAAGGCGAAGGATTGGGCTTGGTTTTTGACTTCTTCTCGGATAGCGGGGGAAGGTTTGGTTCCTACTCCGGGAAGAATGATGACGCCTTCGACCGTGTCGACACGAATTTTATTTGCGACGTCGTTGACCAAGTTTTTCCGCTCGATTTCGGCGAATTTGGATTCTTCCTTGTTTACGACAGAATCAGGGCCTGGTTCGTCCTCGTTAAGTGTTTTGTCTGAACCATCTTCTACCTTGACGCTCTTTCTTAAATCTTCACCAGCTCCAATGAACAGGTTAGAAGTTGTATCGCTGGGGTATCTGCGTGCAAAAATTGAGTTTGTACATACATACGTATGCTTACTAATAACTTTAAGCTATCAAATACAAAAAAAAAATCATTAATAATATTTGGCGTAGAAAAGGACGGTTTTGAATTATAAAGGAGTAATGATACGAATAGTAGAGGAGTATTCACACCTAAGGGGAATTCAAAACTTTGGGAATGCACATCCGGAAGCAGAAACATCTCCGTAAGTTGGGTTTGTCAGAAAAAAATAAATTCTCCACTTATGTACCTGCTGCTTATCCATTCGTTTCTTCCAGCAATTCGTTCGAACGCTTCCGCATTGTTGATAACCGTAGCAGCTCCTTCCCGTCGAAGTTGGTTCGGGTCAGTACTTCCGCCAAGGAGTTGGTTTAAAGCCTCATAACCACAGTCACTTGAACCATCGGGAACAACGACTTTGGAAATACCGCCCGATTTCGTATCCATTATATCATAATGTCCGACTCCGACTTGTCCTGTTATATAACAATTACTGTACAGAATCTATGTCGCGTGAACCAAGTTTGCCATATTTATTTACCTGTCAAAGGATCAACCTCCCCTTTATTGAAAACTAAAATAGACGCTCCAGAAGCCCGATCCTCTTCCGTTGGGACATAATCAGGTCCCACAATCCGAAGATTAAGTCCATGCTTTGTTCCCAAAGCTAAAAGAATGTTGGCGTCTGCCGGTCCACCAATAAGTATTTCGCTCGCCATTAGCTTAACAGAGTCCGGCAGTCTGGAAATGTCCACATTGGAATCACTGTCTCCTCCCTCTTTCAGCATATTCAGTAACTCGGCAAAATTCTCTCTCTGCATCCAGGCTATCGTGAACTGCTTAGCGTTTGCTTGTATTTGTCCTGCCACGGTATTCTGCATCGGCTCACCTTCCACGCTCTCTTTCGCGTCGACTATAAAGTTCTCCTGTGCCCACTCCGAGACCGAGGAGACCGCCTTTCCCACCAAGTATGACGACACAGGAGCAATCAGTTGGGATTCAGAAATACGAATAATGTGATCTGACAACGAATCGACCACAGTTTTCAATGTCATGCTGATATTTTCAAGTTCAAAACGGGAATCTTGACTTTTGTTAATTTTATGGAAGAATGCCGAAACACTAGCTTTTTCATCTGTAGTTCCCCAAGATAAGGTGGAAGTCATTATAAATTTGGTGGAGTGTTCTGTCACTGAAATTTCCACGTGGTCCCCAACTTCTGCGGCATCTTCTGGACTCAGCCCCGCGTAAAGTTGTAAAAGTTTCGTCGGGCTTAAATCAATCTTCATGAGTCGTTTTAACACTTCTGAACAAAATGTCATCATAGCGTAACCGATTTCCTTAATACCGTTAAGTACCGTGGTGAATCTTACAGCTTGAGCGGCCAGGTTTGCCAGCCAGTGTCGCGAATTCGACAAGACTCCTCGAACGAGAGGGAGTCCAACGGATTGCCAGTATTTCGCCCACACCGAGCCGGCCGTCATTTCTGCCAGGGTTGCTAATATCTTGGATTCCAACATTTTTTTATCAACCGCGTATAGCAGTTTGGACAAACGTTGTAGTTCTGAATTAGTGAAGAATCCGTTGGTAACATCTGTCTCCACCTTGTCTATAATCTGTGGCCTCAGCGAAGACATGGCAAATTTTCCTAGTTGGTCCATCCCGTAGTTTCCAACTTCTCTCAGTGCAGCTTCTCCGACACCAACGCAAATTTGCTGCACAGCAAGGCTTCTCAGGTTGTCACCAGCCACTTTGATTGTGGTATTGAGGGTTTGTTTAGTTCCCTCCATAATTAATGATTTCCCAGCTTGTTCCGCAGCCTCTTTCCCAACCGATTCAACTACGAGGGTCGCCCCTTGTGCTGCATCCTTAAGGGATGACAACCCCATGGATATTACGGAAATTGTTAAACTTACGGCTTTCTGGGTCCCGTAATCCTTCCAGCTAAACTGTCTGTTGGAATATGCTCGATAAGCCGTGAATATGTCGGCTGATCCCTCCGTAATGAGCGACATGCCAACTGTGGCCCCAAATCCTGTGGCGATTAGTAAACCGCCACAAGCTATTTGAGCCGCAGCGATTACCCCGAGACAAGCAATGCTAAACCAAGGAATTGGGGACTTTTCACTAAACTCGAACAGCAGGAGGAGACCGCGAGACGCGGTTTCGGACAATTCTTGACCAGGGAATTTATCCCCCCCGGCAAGGAAAAGTTCGAAGATTGTCTTTACCTTCCGCAGTTCCATGTCTTCTTGTTCAATTCTGGCCTTTTCTATGACCTCTTTTGCCTTTGAAAGGGATAGGTTCGGAATCGAAAGGTTGAACTCGAGGGAAATTTCACGCAATTGTTGTATTACCCCGCTAGTGTTTGGTAGGTTGACCAAATTCCCACCTAAATTTTTGATAGTGACCACACCTGATTTAAAGGAGTCTTTTAAAAGGGTCTGATTTGTCAGAATATCATGCAGCTTAAGGGTAGAATAGCAGGGAGTCACTTTAGCAGGAGAAGCTTGTTTGACAGTTTCTTCCATTTTGGAAATTTTATTGATAATCCACTCAGCTTGTTCTATCCTTCGCGCCAATTTGGTTTTTGTATCAAATGTGAATACGGTTTCCCGCCTTATTAAAGTTGTCGTATCCGGCGGCTTATTTATCCCACACAAATAGGAAATTCGATTTCCATTATCTAGAAAATCCAAAGTGGTGGCCGCTACTCCATCTGGTAGTGTAAATTCAAGTTTTTCCGCCACTTCTGAACAAACGGAAATTGAGCTCAGCTCACTCGTCATGTTAGGCAACAATTCTAGAACTTCTGAAATCGAAAGGTCCTGAATCTCCAGATCCATCTCTTGTTTCTTGAATATTTTGTAATTTTCTTCGTTCCCTTGACGGCAGACCAGGTTCCAAAATCTACTTTGGTTATCGGTTGGAATTGATTCCAAAAACTCTATGGCATCTGGGACTGTAATTTTCTCCTTTACTTTTTTGACGCCAGTTTTCAGTATTTCTAACAGGTCAACTCTAACATTGTCTCCTATGAAAAACCGGGTAACGGCGTAGGAACGTCTCTCATCCCATCCTTGAAGGGTGAGAATTGCTTCATTTGTTGTCAAATCGTGAACTAGTATGTCCTCACATGTCAATTCCAACAGTTTGTCCCACCCCAGGGGGCCGCATTCGAGCTGAACTCTTGACCACAACTGATGGGTGGCTTGAATTGTATTAACGGCTTGATCAACCGCTCCGGAATCCTGGGATAAAGTTAAGCCTTCAAACTTAAGGGTGAACTCTTCAATTTCTTTGGAAAACTGGTGTAGATTCTCTTTACAGGTTTCTTTTGTGCTGTCGGCGAAGTTCGCGGAGAAATGGTTAAAGAACTGATTTTCACCCTTGGCACTTTTACCTAAGATGTGTATAGGTCTTAAGGATCGTTTGGTTTGGCTCATTGCTGCATCAACAGAGTTTGAAATAGACCCGAGAATGTTCATTTTTGTTGTGAGTTGTTGTTCCAAACCACTATTTTCATCGGCGTGGCGGTTTCTCAGCAAGATCTGGGCCGTGCTTAAGTCTGATATTTCCGTTTGGATTTGGGTGAGAGCATCCTTGTAATATTTGATTGCTTTGGATTTGTAGTTGGATTCGTGCCTGTCACTTAAGATAAGGCCAATAGTACCTGTCGAATAAATATTAATGATTACATTAATTGAAGTAGTTCCAATTGTGTATAGGTTTTCTAAAAATATCTAGTCCTCCTTTCAGAAACATAAAATTATTTAATCTAATATGCCAGACGACTTCAAAAAGACTGATTCTGAATATCCTCTGAATACAAGGACACCAAAAAATCATTCATTGCCTCACATTTCAACAATTTTTTCGCTTACTTCCTAGTAAAAAAAATTCTGGCTAAGTGACCCAAACCTTTGTCGTGGGTAATGTAGCCTACGTAAAGCTAGCTTTTGGTAAGCCACCAAAATCAACTGAAACTAAATTTTCATAACTTCTTAGTCAACTATTCACAAACGAATACCGACATCGACATTATTTGACTCTGAGTACATAGATGCGGATCAAACTTATTTTTATTTATTTTCTTATCTCCTTAACTGACTCACCTTTCAGCAGCGCATTTCCAAGTCCCAGCAATGCTCCCGAGCAAAAATCCAGGTCAAGCCTTGCAGCTGTTACGTAATGTCGCTTAGCTTCTGATATATAACTGTGAGCTTTACCATCTTTGAGCATATAATCATTCCCAATAGCGATGTGGTAATACGGACTCTTTATGACTTTACAATGATCTGATCCGGCCCTCATACAAAAATCCCGCTTCACCAATAACTCAAAAAACGTGTAGTAATCAATCCCACTCGTCGGTGGAATACTGCCATCTTCCATCTGTCTTAGAAACAAGGCCCATCTTTCTTCCACAGCCTGAAGTAAATTCAACTCCAACACGGACAACACGGACAATTGTTGAGGGTGTTGAAGAAAATCCAAATCTTCTTCTAATTCGTCTGCATCCTTTCCAAGCAAGAGTGTAGCTCCTACTCTTCCTACAGCCCCAAGAAGGCTTTCCCTCTCACGCCGAAAAATCATACGGATCTGTAGCAGTAATTTGCAGAAACGGGTGAAGCACTCATCCTTTGCTTCTACCAAGGGTAAGGATTCTTCCAAAAACGATGTCAGTCGATGGTCATCGGCCACGTCGCGAAGTTCCCTCATCTCTGTAGCGGATTGCCCTAAGTTGGTAAGCGGGAGTGTAGAAATTAGTTGTCCTGATCCATAATTCCCTTGCCGGGATGTTCGACCGAAGGCTTGCTCCTCAACCCTGACATTATTTGGAAGGAATGTGAGACAAACATGGAGTCCGCCATAGGGCTCGATTTCCCTCGTGTTAATGTCCGTTCCTCTCCCAGCTAGGTTGGTAGCTATGAAAACCTGAAATTGATTAAGTCAATTGTATTATACATACTGAACATTGATTTATGTCCCTACCTGCCCCGGCAGAATTTTTTCAATCTGCCGCTCCTGATCAGAGTTATTACGAGTGTAGAGGCGGATCCCATTATTCATTGGACAGTACTTGCGAACTGCGTCGTGTATTTTTTTGGCGTCGTGAATTGTTTCGCAAATTAAGAGGGCCCCCCTTTTCCTAGGAGTTCAATTAAAGTATAAGGTGTAGATATCGCTTTCGATAACAAGTATACGACATACAGTCAAGGAATTTATAGTTCAACCACTCCAGGGTGACGCTCAGATTCAACTCACTATTTCGAAACAAGTAAGCATGGTTCAACTAATCGTTTTAGGTATTATGTAGGAAATTTAATGGGCTTTCAGATGCAATAATCATTTTCATGATATTTTGCATGCTTACGACAAAAATTAATAAATAGTACTAATTCAGTTAAATCGACCGGAATTAATTATTCAACCGATTATTAAATTATTTTTTTAGAATTTCTGTTGGCTCACAAAATTTCGGATTGCTTGATTATTTAATAATCACTGGGTCCTCACTTAACAGATATGATACCTTCCACATGTCTTGGCATCGATTCAACCAGTTTTTGAATAATTTCCGTATCAAGAGAATACCACACCTCCAAAATACCGGACTTGAGCCATTCCTTATTTTTTACTGGAGTCTTTTTTACATCTGCCTAAACTAACTAAGGAGGAGAGACCCTCAACATGTCATCTTCAGATCTTGATGCACTTTGGATATGTTAGAGTACCCCATGAGTCTACTAAAACCCTGAAGTGGTTTGATGCCATGGCCCCATTTGCGCCCGCCACACCCACTCAAAGGTGTAAAAAACACGAAAAAAGCCCTGTTTTCATGTACTTCGACTGTCACCAAAAATCCAACTTTGCTCGGATTTTCGTAAAATTAACATTTTTCGGATCCCAGATACTTATGTGATCATATCCAGTAGCCATCTCAACTTTTTTGAAATTTTGAAAATTTTCGAATAATTCATGAGCCGTGGAATGCCCAAAAATTTCGAAAATTTCAAAAACGTTGAGATTGCTATTGGCTATGATCGCACAAGCATCTGGGATCACAAAAGTGTAAATGTTATCAAAATCCCAACAAAATTGGATTTTTGGTGGATTTTTAAAGTTAGTAATTTTTGTGGTTTTCATCCCTTTGAGTGGGTGTGGCGGGCGCAAATGGGGCCATGGCATCAAACCACTTCAGGGTTTTAGTAGACTCATAGGGTACTCCAACATATCCAAAGGGCATCAAGATCTGAAGATGACATGTTGAGGGTCTCTCCTCCTAAGTCACTCATAGGCTCAATGCGATTCAAATCCTGTGATTTTGGAACCCGTTCCAGCTTTTGAATATTTTTTTCTTTGAAGAAATTAGTCATAACTTTATAGGTGTGCTTGGGATCTGAATCCAGCTGAAAGATAAAACGGCGCCCAAGGCCATTGTCCCTCGCAGATTCTAAAATATTCCGATCAAGGAAACCTCGATGCATCTACTCATGCATGTTTACGTTGACGAATTCAAGATTTCCAACCCCTTGGGCACCGAAGAAAGCCTAAGCCATAACCAGTCCACCTCAGTATTTAACTGGTTGGAGTTATTTAATTTGTTTTAGGGCCAATTCCGTCTTTCACCTCACTTTGTGATGTCCGTCTGATCCAAAATGTTTGACTTTGGTCTCGTAAATAAGCCCAAATAATGGATTTCCAAAATGATACAGGTTTCGAAAAATGCTTTCTTGCACACCCTGATCTTTTTACTTGAATCTTTTAGCTGATGTAAGGTTTCTTCGGTGCCAAAGGGGTTAGAAATCTTGAATTCATCAATGGAATTATGCATGGAGTGATTAATCAAGGCATCCTTGATCGGAACATTTTCGAATCTGTGAGGAAAATTGGACTTGGGCGTCACTGTATCTTTCAGCAAAATTCAAGATCCCAAGCACACCTCCAAAGTTACGACTAATTTCTTCAAACAAAAAATATTCAAAAGCTGGAATGGGTTCTAAAATCAATGGATTTGAATCGTACTGAGCATATGAGTGATTTAGCTAAGACAGAAGTGAAAAAGACTCCAGCAAAAAATAAGGAAGGGCTCAAGTCCCGTATTTTGGAGGTGTGGAATTCTCTTGACACGGAAGTTGTTCAAAAACTGGTTGAATCGATGCTGAGGCGTCTGGTAGCTATCATATCTACTAACAAGGGAATATACCGAGGTGTCCAACGAGTTAAGGGTCGACACCTATACCAAAATGACAGAGAAGCGTCGTCGTCTTCAGAGATTTCAAATTCTTTCAAATTTTGAAAACATTTTGAAATTTTGCAGAAATTTTGAGAAAGTTCTGAAATTTTGAAGAAATTTTGAAATTTTGAAGAAATTTTGAAATTTTGAAGAAATTTTGAAATTTTGAAGAAATTTTGAAATTTTGAAGAAATTTTGAAATTTTGAAGAAATTTTGAAATTTTGAAGAAATTTTGAAATTTTGAAGAAATTTTGAAATTTTGAAGAAATTTTGAAATTTTGAAGAAATTTTGAAATTTTGAAGAAATTTTGAAATTTTGATAAAAATGTGTAGAGGACATGTTGTCTTCAGAGATTTCAAATAACTTCCACACCTATTTTTTCAAAACTTCATAATTTTTTCAAAATTTCAAAACTTTTTCAACATTTCAAAACTTTCTCAAAATTTCTTCAAAATTTCAAAATGTTTTCAAAAGTTGAAAGAATTTGAAATCTCTGAAGACGACGTAAAGACGATGACACTTCTCTGTGGTCGACCGGATCGTTCAGTGGCCGACCTCTCCCACTGGCAAACGGATGGTCATGCGCTCGTCACAAATATCGTCACCACGTGACGAAAAGTGAATTTTACACGGAAATTCCTCCAGTTTGTTTAACAAGTCATATATTGTGGTCATTTTGGTATAGGTGTCGACCCTTAACTCGTTGGACACCTCGGTATGTTCCCTTGTAAGAGAGGACTCACTAATTATTAAATAATCAAGCAGTTAGAGATTTGTCAACCAACAGAAATTCTAAAAAAAAACAATTTAATAATCGGTTGAATGATTAATTCCCGTCGAATTGACTGAATTATTACTATTTATTGATGTTTGTCGTAAGTATGCAAAATATTATGAAAGTGGTTATTCAATCTGAAAGCCCATTAAATTTCCTACATAATACCTAAAAAGATTAGTTGAACCATGCTTACTTGTTTCGAAATAGTGAGTTGAATCTGAGCGTCAAAATTCCTTGACTGTATATAAGAAGTACCATAACTTACCGGGCAATTTGGGATTTCACACTGGTCACAATTTCCCCTAACCACATCTCTTTAGTTGGCACCATTATATCAGGATATTGAGCATATCTTTGGTAATGGGTCAGCGGAATGTTTTGACATTTGCAGTTGTACAATGAACTCAATATTTCCCGGGTTGTCGTGGATCCAAGCGTTCCTAAATTCGCAAAACTTTTACAGGCGATTTGAAATGTCGATTGATTTACAAAACCGTGTCGTTAAACTTACCAGTTAGTCCTACAATATTACTCCCCCTAAACTCTACCCCTTGTCCTGCATCATGACTCTGAATATACCTTCGAAATAGGGACATATTGGAGAGAAAGTTGGTCGTACATGTTTCCGAGGTAAGCCTCAAATCATGTTTGAGTTGCAGAAATTGATGTAACCCATCACTCCATGATGTAGACCCTTGAACTATCCCCGTCGTCAAATAGTCCACCGGGAGGATTTGACCATCTTCCACGACGTAATGGACATTCTCCATATAATTGAAGGCCAGTATACAATTGTCTACCCATTTGGGGATTTGGCTGGATACGAAGCGCCTCAAGTGCTGGGGCACTTTTACCACAGGCGGGATCTTTTTACTCCCATGGTCCTTCTCTTTCTTCTTCTGGAACCCTACGACTTCTTCCACGTAATTGTGCAGATGGTCTTTGATAAAGGAATCGATATCCCGTACAATATGTATCCCTGCTTTTCCCAATTCCCTCCCATTTTGAATGTACCCAACGAGGTCCTCAACTTCCATCGTGTTTCCAGTCGATGCATCCGTAAAGAGAAGTTTAGGAATCCCTCCTTCACCGGATATGATGTAACCTTCCACATAATAAATGTTAGTTCCAACTGTAAATAGCTTTTTTTCTATAGTGAGCATCCGATGCCAGACGAGGTGGTAGATGATTTGGAGCAAGTCCGCACCCGGTAGGGGGGATGAGAGTCGGGCCAATTTCGACATGTCGTCAACCAATAGGCTGTCCACCTAGATTTGTTTCCAAGATAAAATTATGTCAAATAATGCCACAAATTATGTCAAATAATGCCACAAATTATGTCAAATAATGCGTGATTGAATTTCAAATTTAAAACGCTCAGAACCAGTTTCCGCGTTGTTGTTCTAACCTCATCCACAATGGCGAACTGCGTCGTTCTTTGTCCCATTGTCCCCAAATTGCTGTACGAATGCCGTAAGATGTCAAATTGAAATTGAGAAATTTCTCCGTACACAATATCTGCTTCATAGCAAGCTTTGAATCCTGTGATGTACAGTCCAGTATCCCCATTATGGCTGCAGGATAGGCCAAACACGGAGAAAAATTCGGACCAGGATTTAGCATCCCTTTCAGCTAGGACTGGGCTGCTTGTGTACACGTCGATGGTCAGTTGTCGAAGGGCATTTATGACTGCGAGTATGGCTACGATTGTAGACTTTCCGGAACCCGTAGCAATTTGGAGAAGCGCACCTGGAATTACGTTTCCCTTACATTATTTATCCTTCAGTTTTATGAATTTTAAGTAATCAGTCAATTTTGGATAATTACGGATTTTGGAGGCAAGTAATCATCTGCAAGAATTAAGCACAAGAAAGTGGTTTCTTGAAGATGTCTATTTTGACCCGTAAGAAATATAGGCCGCAAAAAATGCTTTTCGCCGCTATACATAGTTCATAGGTAACAGAACCATGTAGCCCCGATTTATTACACTTTGTTGTGGTCTCCATCATCTTGCATTTCTTACAGCTCTTTGCTCTGCATTGCAAGATATGCAAAAAGAAACGCGCTAAAAACGAAGACTGTGCTTATATTACAGGTGAACAAAGGTCAGGGCTGATCCTATGAAAACCCTACCCGGACCTGCCCAATAGGGCATAGGGGAGGGCGGGCTTTTAATGCGTACGGCCAGTGAAGTCCGGGTTTTTAAAAATGGCAGGCTTGAACAACTCTAGCTTATAATCATAATGTGAAATACCTACCTTTCAATCCTTTATTAACGCCACAGTATATCGACAGGATTTGGACGTTAGTCAAGTGGAAGTTGGAATGAAGGTGGAAGGCCCGTTTGCAAACGGCGACAGCCTCCAAGCAGAATTTATCATCTGTTAACTGAGTCCCTTGAGCGAACCGAGACTTGACCTCAGTAGCCCACCCCTTAATTTCTTCCCTTTCCCAGTCCACTATTTGTAAACTAATGCTTGGGCAGCATTTACTTGTGAATTCTCCCGACTGGATCTTTTTTATTGTATCGGAAAATTCTGCCAGATCCTGAAGTTGTGGTTGCCCATCACAAGTGACTAGTTCGGATAGCACTTCTTCTGAAGATTTAAGGGAGGATCCGGGGCGGAAACTAGTGGAAATAATTTGCCGATTTAGTTCTGTCACCCAATCCTTCCAAGGGGTTTGGCTAAGTAGTTGCTCCACGTTAAGTTTTGCACAGGAGTCATAGTCCACAAGAAGGCGGAGGACCTGCGTCAGATTTATTACAATCAGTGAGAACCGGACAAACAATTTGCATTTATGGTAACCGATAAGAGAAAGCTATAAAATGAGGTCATATTCCAAAAATAGGATCCACATATTTTGCATCCTGTGAGACACTAGATGTAAAACCATTTTACATCTTAAGCACTCTAAATAAAAGTTGGAAAAAAATAACACGAATCAACTATTGTACTAAATTAACATAGGTACACAAGGTTGTACAAAAATTGAACAAACATGGGCAATTGTTACAACTCTAGGATGAATTTTAGCCTAATCAAGGATTCAAAATTAGCTAGTAAATGAAGTTTAAAAAAATCGCAAACTACCCATTTTATTTACAATTTAACAAAAGTTCTCAGTGTGAAGGTTGACTACAACACCATTTGCTTTAAAAATGCATGATATGATTTAAGTTCGTCATTAATTTAACCTGGAGAAAAACATGGAAAGGTACGATTTTGCTAGAAAATATGGAAAGGCATGATATACATACATAAGCTAATATTTCTGTGGAATATTAGATATAAATTACCTGTAACAAAGCCTCCCCTTCCCTTGCATCAAATCTTTCTCTTATCTTCAGTAGCCTCATCAATTTGTCGAACGGGGCTCCATCTTTGTGAAGCTTGACAATATAGCCACATCCCCTGTTCAAATCTTGCCGGGAAAGTGAAACCCTTCCGCGAAAGAAGAGAATAAGTGTTTCCCTCTCTGCCGTTTTTAGTAGCTCCACCTCACTCTCACAGTTCCCCCATTGACCCACTCTTAATTTTGACAGGTTGGCGCTATTCTCCGTGAGTAGTTCCGACAATTTCTCAAGGACTCTGGGATCTCCAATTTTTCCAGTGATTTTGTTCAGCAGTTGAAGTGTAAAATTATATCCCAACTTAGAAATCAATCGAGACGTTAGGTGGTGGGAATTTTCAAAAATCCCGCATTTTTCATCCAGCTGCATTTGAATAACCGCTTCCTCCATTTTTGGCTTCCAATGCATATATCGCATTCCATAGTAGGTGTCAATTACCTTCGGGTCTAGAATCAGGAGCTGTTCCACCACATTCAAAAATTCCGCATCCGTCAAGTAGTTGGATTTTGCTTCGTCCCTTAACCAGAAGAGGGCGTCATGCGTGCTTTCCTTCTCCCAACCGAGCTTGTTGCCTAATTTATCAAGGGTTTCTAGCATAATGATTTTCTGAGGATTGTTTTCTGGATCTACAATTCCCCACACTAGGTCTAAGAGGATAAGTTCCTTTACCCATTGGGAAGGTTGACTTGAGAATACGCCATGATCAAAGTTGTTTACTGACGAAAGCGTTATAAAGATGGACATTTCAGCCGGTTTCAAATTGCCTTCACAACACTTCCCAAAAATATCGAAGGCTTCCCCGCCATGTATCAATTTTCCCGACTCCAACATCTTTTTCGAAGTGATTTGACTAAAGGTCTGGAGATCAGACGGAGTTTGACAATACTTTGAGCTTAGTGACTTGAAAGCCATCCTTCTTATGGTGGAGTCATCACTGTACAAATTGGCTTTCAAAACGCCCCATCCCGCTTCTGGTAGGTTTTGGCGCTGAGCAAGAATAGAAAGGCAATTTAAAATTCCTTGACGTTCGTGGTAGTTGATGGAGTGGCGAAACTTATCTAGGAGCAAATCAGCCATTTTGTCAAGTTTGTTTGTATCTTTGGTTGATTTCAAAATTCGGCTGAACACCTGGAGAACCTCCCAAGTTAGTTGGGACTCCTCTTGGATTCCGTCCAACAAACATTCCCCTGCCTTAATTTCCAGGTCATGATGCACCTCTCCCTGTATTAGGAGGGAGGCTAGGACTTTACAAAATAGGTCTCTTATTTCCGGGAACTGGTCAGATTTTTGAATTAGGAATTGAATCGTGTCATCGTCTGCCTTGAATCCGCAGATTAGTTTCTGTTTAATTTCTTCTAGAATTTGCTTCACCTCTGCTTCACCAGCTTCGGACAAGTGTTCCAACCGTATAAGAAATTTAGTCCTGTCTGAAATTTTGTGATTTAAGTGAGAAAGAACGAATTTGCTTGCAGGGTAAGTTTGTTCCAACATTTGTATACTCTTCTCTCCAAAATAGTTTGGATTTTTCTCAATAAAAAAATTTCGTACAAGGATTTTCCTTGTTAATTCTTGGATTTTTGGAAAATACGAAAAATCTGCGAAAACTCGTACAATCCTTGTAACCGTGTCTTCCATTAGGGAGAGGTTTTCTGGGGATAGGTCGTCAACCACTGTATCAATCCAAATGAATATTATTTCTAGAATTTTTTCCGCCTCTTCCAATGTCATCCTGGAAGAAGAATTCAGCAGCCTAAATATGGTTCTATTTTCAAAAACGGAGGTAAATCCCTCATCGGATTTAACTTTGCTCCAAAGTTCGTGAATGAATGTAAACTGATCTTGTATTGCTAATAAATTTGCGAGGGCCAAGGTCTGCCTCTGCTCTTTCCCAAGAGGTGTGTCCCCTTGCAAGAAAAGGTTCACGTCTTGGAATGCTTCACCCAAAGGGTCAAGATAGTGCAAGGACTCTATCAGCTGATTGAGTTGGTTGTCTTCTAAATATATTTTTTCTGATGAGTTTCTCAGGATATGAGAAATTCCTTCTATTGCTAGAGAGACTAAGTGCTGTTGATTTTGCGGTAAAGTAAATACTTTGAAAAATGATGGCAGTAAGCTAGTTTTTCCCCCATTGAATTTTACAGAGGAGACGAGGGCAGCTAGCAGCGAAGACGTTTCCTCTTGGCGGTCAGTTTTAATAAATTTGTCAAAGTTTTTGACTAATTTGTCCACGGTTTTGTCACTAACAGGGTATTTTCGCTCAACTAGAAGTAAAATGAAGGCCAGCACTTCGTTCCATCCTGTTTTGTCAGCATTGCGTCCTTCCTCGAATTCCTTCACGAGCAAGTCACCCGCATCGTCCGGTAGTTCTTGATTATTCCGCAAGAGGGACGAACACAACCTGGCAATTTTGGGTAATTGCTCCCTAAAGGTTAGCACACTCGAGCAACAGATTGTTGACACATTCCTCATCACGTCTTTTGGTAAACTGTTTCCATATTCGGATATGGATGTAAGACAACTTAAATAGCTTTCTAGGTTGCGTTTGCAGTGGAATTCGGAAAATGTTGTAAATCCCAATGAAGAACATGGAGCCCCATTTCCCAACAGAGTTTCAACTTCTGTCCATATTTTTTTGTCTCGAGGATTATCGTTTAACCTCAGAAAACAAGTATCCAGCCATAACATGGAGAATACTTTGGACGGCAAATCCTGGTTGTCATTCCCCTTCATAAGCAGACTATACAGGATTTTGTGCTCTGAACCTGATAAGGACACCATCTTGGAGCAAAAGTGTCCCAAAACTTTTTCAGACGTTGGTTCTCCGTTTGCAATGACGTTGCAAAAGATCGTCTCGCTGCTGGGGTTGCCATTTTTGCCATCAAGATAAAGTTCAATACGGTCTAGAACATTGGATGGAATTACCCTATTCTTCCCAAGTTTTGAATAATCCTCCAAAATCTCTAATGCATCTTTAATGTATTTCTCATTGCCAGGTAGAGACAGGAGTTTTATAAGGTCCCAGATTTCTTTTTCAAACTCCGTGTTTGGTTTGTTGGCTTCCAATTTTACAATGCACATCACCCCGTGGTTAATTTGTCCCGCGAAATCAACGCCGTCTAGAAGTTGTTGGTCTAACGAAAAATGAGAAACAACCATGGCCAGCAGCTCAGAGTCGATTGGACTTTCCGATGCTTTCGCCAGTTTAGCAGAACCCAAAGTTACTGCGCATTTGCAGTGTAAGCGGACATCCCCAACGGAATCAGCTGTTAGGGAGTCTAAGGATTTCAGCTCGTTTACCTGGAGATATCTCTCCACTGCGAGGCAATGAAGCAGTTTCGAACACCGGATACGTGTTTGAACATCTCTCCCAGTTTCCAATGACTTCAGCAGGGTTGGGAGGACAGTTGCTATTTCATCATGGTTGTTTTTCTCATCTATTTCGTCCTGATTTTCTTCTGCTTCTATTTCGTCCAGATTTTCGTCCCCATCCACTTCGTCCTGACTATCTTCCACTTCTATTTCGTCCTGATTATCTTCCGCTTCTAATTCCTCTTGAGTTGTATCCGCTTCTATTTTCCAACAATTTAGGATAGTGGATGCTACAATGGCGGACAAAAAGTCGCCGTTAGGTAACTCTTCTTCATTCCCATCACCATAATTGTTTTCGGGTAATACAGCCTTATCTTCTTCCAATAGGAGTGGCGCCAAGGTTTGAACATGATTAATATATTGATTTTCACTCGCGTCGTGGAGGTAGGAAACCGTCATAACTTTAGCGGTCTGATCGCAGAACTTAATTAATGCCATTTCGCCAAGGATTTCTTTGTATTCGTCTTGGTCGTAATCGTCATCAAGTTTGAAGTTCGCCAAGGACTTGATTACTAATCGGACAACTGTCAACTGAAAACCGCCATCGTCCTGGCCTTTTTCGTAGTCTAATAGTTCGGCCAGAAAATCGAAGGGGAGTCCAGGTGTTGAGTTGTGATCGACATAATTCTCCAGAATTTCAAGGAATTGTGATCTTTTGTCCAAGTCAATGTCTTCATGGTAGTAATCTTCAGTAATACAAATTTTCCCAATGGCTTCCACAACCTCAGAGTCAAACAGAGCTTCCACCTGAAAAAATTATTCTTCAAATCTCTTCGCATATGTACCAAGTATGTATGTAAATTTGCAACGGACCTGGTTCTCACTCAGAGATTGGAGACTAACATATTTGAGAGCACTTTCCATCTCCTTCTCCCCTACACAGGAATCCTTCAGTTTGTCCATTGCTATTTGGAAGATTTCTTTCGCTGCTTCACTACTGTTGCTCATTTGTGAAAATATTTCAAAAATCAGGTCCTTCTGCGCCTTTGTACACTTATCCAGCCGTAGATGGGCTTTAAGGCAGTTTTGTGTCTCTGTCGAGAAGTACGAAGAGTCCCTGACGACGCATCGTTGCACAGTTTTAAGTACGTACAGATTATACTCGGACTCCTGATCTTTCCCCATGCTTTTGAGGAATACTCTGAAATGGTCCTTTTTAATTCGTTGGCGTTGACTGATGTGATATAATGCCTCAGACAGAAGGAGGAGAACGGTTGACCTGTTCAAGCATATACACATTCTGTTTAAGAGAATTGTCAAAACTTTTCAAGGTAACTTAAGTAAATTGCGTTAACTAGTAAGTTTAGAGTTAAATGTCCAAGATTGGACGATTCCAATCTTGAATAGCCTGGAACAGATTATAGTTTGAGCTCGAAATTCGAGGGCAGGCAGGTTTCATACGGATATTTTAGTGAATTAAAGTAATCATGCAGGTCTTAAAAGTGACAATATGTACTGTTTGAATACCCTAAAAAATCAAGAAAAGCTATCGTTTGTATGTACTATGTAGGGGGTCGAACTACTCATTACTAGAGATAGTCCAAACCCGCGGCGGTAGCGCATTTAAGGCTAATTGCCGACTGAGCTATCGTTTAAGAAGATCTTCTACAAGGACGATCACCACCGCCCGTCATATGTCTCTATCAATATTTAATTTGAACTGAGCTTAGAGAAACAAATCCATAGATCCGCACTACTCCTAAACATTCAAGAATTTTTGAAGGTTTAACACTGTGCAGTCTTTCCAGTCAATTCACCCTTTTCATTTACCTAATGATTTTAGAGATGATGGTGAAAATTTGTTTTTTCTAAACGGATGTGTAATTCTTTTTCTAGACTTTATAACTTTGCTAATTACTATATAAATGTTTACTGATTCAAAGGCATTGCGACAAATACAAGTTCAAAGCTATTAATCTATTTAGCCTGTCAAAGTATTAGTTAATTTGTGTAAACAAACCTGTACGATAATGTGACATGCGCCCCCTCTATCTTGTTGTACAGATAAGTTTGATCATCGTTTGAAATTGTTTTGCCACCCTTCGCCAAATCGCGTAGGTTTTCCACTTCGTAGTATGTAGTTCGATAAAAATAGGTGTCGCTACCAGATTTGGACTCCTCTATTGATGGAAGTACTTCCCGTTGAAAGGAATGTTGTATAGTTTTGGCACGGGCATTCAAAGCGTTGGCAAGGTTCAGCTGCGTAAGCGAAGTTTCCTCAGAGGACGACTCTTGTGTTCTAGACGTAGTTTGCTGCTGTACTTTCACTGCATGTGCTTTCACCTGAATTAGAGAAAATAACTATTTTACACAACTCTTGAAATTTCCCGAATTGCTCCATAAATTAAGGAAGTCTCAATGCATTCTAAATTCATTCTAAATACATTCTAAATCATTGATGTCATGAAATTATTACATATGAAAATATGTAAATTTAATAATGTTTTATCCATCTTCTCTTTAAACTAAAATACCTACCTGATTCGTCGGAGTGGATATCTTCTTGAGACCACCAGGAGTGGCAAACTTGTCAAAAATCTGATGCTCCTTTCTCTCACCAATTTTGTCTTGCAATAATGATGATCTTTTTGCTTCAGTGGTCACACCTTCATATTCACACCCGGGGGTTCGGTATTGTTCAAGAAATTCGGAAAATTCTGATCTAGCATTTTGACTTAGTTTGGACGAAGACTGTTTCACGAGATGTTGCAGGCATTGAAGGAACCCTGGATCCACATTTGCTTTATCAAATTTCCTACAAAGGATTAAGCAAAGTTCTGTTTGGAGTTGAAGTTCCGTTTCATCATTGGATTCGTCAGGATTCTTCAAACTTTTGAGTAATTCCAGGAGTTTTTCGAGTTTAGAGAATGTGGGGTTATGCTGATTTGCGTATTTTATAATTTGAGCAAGAATAACTTTATCCCTTGGAGATGATTTATTCAATTTATCAAAAAGAGGAATATCGAATTCTTTTGGGAGACCACGTAACCTGAAATTATAAAATAAAAGCATCTTTTACTTAGCTGCAGAAAATGAAATCTCACTGTGTCTTGGATATTCTCATTTTTTTGAATAAACCATGTTACACTCTGAAAAGCTGTGGACGGGGTGCCGGGTGTCAATTATCACCCGTTAATACCACTACATAATACTTGAAGGTAATAACCGGTAATAACTTATTGTTCTTTTTGAATAGCTGTGAAAATAGTATTGGGGCAATACATATGTATAAAACAAGGTGGGGCAGGAAGCACAGTAATTATGAAATTTATTAGTTATTTGGCATTAGAAGGCGATTATTAAGGGGTGAAAGCCCTTTATAAGATCGTTATGTCCGTCTGTCTGTCCGTTGGTCCGATAACTTTTGAATGGAAAGACATAGAGGCTTGAAATTTTGAACGTTAACTCCTAACGTCAAGGGACAGGACGAGTTCGAAGATGGACACTGTGACATCGTCACCTGTGACGATGACGTCGTCATAGTGACGAAAAGTGACGAAAAAGTGTCTCGTGTCAATTTTGACATGTGACACATCATTTTTAACTATTTTTCAACGAGGAATTCGAAAATTCGTGTCATTTTGCACTTGGACGTCACCTGTGACGATGACGTTGTCACAGTGACGAAAAGTGACGAAAAAGTGTCTCGTGTCAATTTTGACATGCGACAGGTCAGTTTTAACTATTTTTCAGCGTCGAATTCAGTGGTGACCTCCATTTTGACCTCAGAGGTCATCTAAAGGTCATAGAGCATATGAATGTCCATTTAACAGGAAATTTGACGCTGATTTCAGTGGTGACCTTTATTTTGACCTCAGAGGTCAGGAAAGGTCACATAAGGGTTATCAGCTGTTAAATTTCACACATCTGAGACACAAACATTGAAAACACGTCAGATGTGTAAATTTTAACAAATTTTCGAACATAACATGAAATTCACTTTGACGTTTAACACACTTCTTTCACCCCTTAGTTACATGCGTTGTAACGGTTTATTTACATTATGGGTAATGTTAAAACTTTAATAAGTTCATTATTGTAATGGTGTCACGAAAATTTTTCTCCAATATATTGGAGTTGTAAATATCCAATAAACTTTTAAGACATTTGTCCATCCAAAGGATGAGTTTCGCAGTTATTCACCATATATGTAATAAACCGTTACAACGAATGTAACCAAAGGGTGAAAGAAGTGTGCTATCCGTAAAATTGACCTTAAAATGACATTTCATGACCTTTGACCTTGAAGGGTGTGACCCACAGGGTCCATCTTCGAAGTCGTCCTGTCCTTTGACGTTAGGGGTTTACGTTCAAAATTTCAAGTCTCTATGTCTTTCCGTTCAAAAGTTATCGAACCAACGGATAGACAGACAGACAGACGGACGTAACGATCTTATAAAGGGCTTTCACCCCTTAATAATTAGAGAGGCGATTAATAATTACCTTTCGGAACCCTGACTAGAACCAGTGTACTCCCGGGCAAAAAGGCATGCCTGCCGTAAACGTGCCGTAAATGCCGTAAATGCCGCACGAAAATCCATGCCTTTTTGCCGTAAATGCCTTTTTCACAAAAAGGGGCAAAACGATACGATACTTTAATACAAAACAGTTTGATTGATCTTCTAGTCAGTAAATAGTTAAAGCTAAATCTGGTATGCAGATTTATGTGTAAATTATTTTACTTGAATTGTAAAAGTTATGTACATAAATATGTAAAGATGTACGCATACATGCTTACATATTTATTTACTTGTACATATTGGTTTTAAATTTTTTAAAGAGGAATACTAAAAGTATGTAGATATTGCGTTTCTTTAAATCTGGTTGGTCTCGAACGTTATAGTAGACAGTAGCTACTTAATAACAAAACAATTTAATTTTGAAATACAGAATTTAGTAATAATACGTGCTTTACTTTGTATTAAGCGCACAGATTTCAATAACTTGGGTAAAATGTCTCATAAATTGACCATTGATTTTAGTTTACGGCATTTACGGCACGTTTACGGCAAAAAGGCACGGTTTACGGCAGTCCGGCATTGAAAAGGCATTTACGGCAAAAAGGCATAATTTTCGGCATGCCTTCTTGCCAAATAGCGAACACTGACTAGAACGCTAAAATATAATGCTTGCATGCATCCTTGCTAAGTAATTAGGCAAAATTGGCGTGGAATTATTTCAAGTTACCTGCATAAGTATCTTATCTCTGTTAAATTGTCCACCAATTTCTGAAATCCCTTGAAATCCGAATAACGGCGGACTAGTTCCTGATGAATTTTATCCGGGTCATCCAAGGGGTCCGGAAGGGATGAGGTTGAGGCACCCATTGCTCATCTGGAATCAAAAGTTACAAAATATGTAGTACTTAAAATCTACATATGTAATTGTATATGGTTTTGGTGTTGAATTGAATTTTTCAAGTTATTCACGCTACTGGAAACATACTTATCAGAACGTACACGAATATTAATGCAATTCATTATTAAGTAGCGCAAGCTAGTTTATGCGATGACTTAGTCTGTCTGTCTGTCCGTCTGTCCGTCTGTCCGTCTGTCTGTCAACACGATAACAGGAGAACGGAACGAGATAATCGAAATCGGTTTTCGCCATCATACGTATGACCCTAGAGGGAGGATCCCCTATGCTCTTGGGGCCAGCCGGACCACACCCCCTTTGCGCCAGCGGGTGTGGTTGGGGCAAAATGAGATTTTAAGAAAAATTGAATCTAGGTATGAATTGAATCTAGGTAAGTGTTCCCAAGTTGTGTCACACCTCCTCGCGCCCAGTGGGTGTGGTTGGGGCGAAGTGGGTGTGGTTGGGGCAAAATGAGATTAATACAAATATTGAGTCGAACATGTATGACATATGAAACACTAAGATTGATTCTTTAATTAGAATTAATTAGGAAACAGTAAAACAGGTAAAATGCATGATTTTTCAGAGTGGCAAGATAGAATGAGGAAATCGCAATTATTTTGTTATGTTAAATAATTCAGATTCGGTAATCTTTGTTTGCGTTATTTTGTATCGAATTCTCAGCATTCTTGCGCTACTTGGGTACCCTGCGTTGCCGCAGTTTATTTACGTAGAAATTTGCAGAAATATAATACAAGATACATATTAATACTACTTTAAGCTCTCTATCAACTCCGGATTATTTAGTACATAAATGCGAGAGCAAAATAATTACAAAACCAAATTCGAACGAGCTTTGACCAAAATTGTAAATATCATAAAGAAAGCATTTAAATTGCAATTTTAGCCTCCAATTTGTACAGTAAAATACCGCGGCCTTAATGTTATTACGACTGCTTGCTGTAAATACATACTAAAAATTACGAAGCTTTAAAATCAGGCACATCAAAATCGTTTAGATACTAAATTTCATACCGTTGTACTAATCCTAAAATAAGTTAATTCTTCTATTAATTTTAAAATGAGCAAAGTGCAAAACTAAAAGGGACGATTTAGCGTATTTGAAAATTAACGAGAGACTGCACTTAGCTCATCATAAAATTAAGTAGGGGCTGCATTTAACTTATTCCAGAATTAGTAGGACGATATTGCATTAGTTTATCTATTCATTAATAAATCATTACCAAAAGAACCGAAGAACGCAAGATCCCTGCAACATCAAGCATTATGGTAGAATTTTCTTTAAAAGTCTATTTTTTCAGCCAATGCTATGCAATGGCATATGATATAATGGCATATGATATAATGGCATATATTATGCAATGCATAATAAGCACAGTCGGCCACTTTAGCGAGCATCAAAATTATCAAGGAAAAGAGACTTTTAATTTTTTAAAATTCTACTATAACCAGTTGTGAGGCTTAATTTTCACGTTATTTTACGAAATAAATATATAAAGGACTTTCCGAGCAAGACACAGAATAAATATTACTCCTCGAACCAAGTCAGACATGCGAGTTGTTTACATTGCGATGACTTCAAGGTCAATTCAACCATAACCATAAATCAGAGTAAGTACTTCGTTGGTTGCGAATCCCCCACTCTACCCAGTAATGTATGTACATACATATATAAGATAAGTCTTATATCTATTATCGTACTAACAATGGAGGTCTCCCAACGTATGCTCACAGATTTGGACCAAACTAGTGTCAATCGATCACAAATATAATTAGTATGGAATTTGCAAATAGAACTATCTGCCAATGCACAGGTTTTGCAAAGATATTTGCTTCCAAAGTGGGAAAAATGGGCAGCAAATTTGGAAAATAAATATTTGCCAGCCTTTGGGCACGTTTTTCTATCTTTTAAGTGCAAATATCTTTGCAAAACCTGCGCATTGGCAGATAGTTCCACTTTCAAATTTCATACTAATTATATTTGTTATCCATTGACACTAGTTTGGTCCAAATCTGTGAGCATACGTTGGGAGACCTTCATTGTTCGTGTGAAAATGAATCGAACCAAGTTACGATTCAAACTTTTTACTTTAATTGGCTTCATTGTATTTTATCGCTCGTTGTTGATAATTAAGGTAATTATACCTACATATAGTGCAGAAAATAAATGATAGACTTTGCTAAATATTTAAAATGCACTAAATATTGCGAAGATTAATCCTGAGTTTTCGTCGTTAGAAACTCAGCAACAAAATAAAATTTGATATCCAGATTTGTTTTGGCTTAAAAAATGAGTTGCAAAAACTTGCTAAGATTCATTGGTGGTTTAACTTTGAAGAATATTTTTTCCAAAATTTCTTTAGATCTAACACGCGAAATCAGGATGGATCCCCCCACCTCTCTCCCGTGACTAACTTTAAATGATTTCGTCTCAGTTCGCAAAAGAATATGTTACAATTTATGATCATGGATCTCATACATATATCAAATGCCAACCTAAGCGGTTTTCAAATCATCGCTTAAATAATGTATCGGTGCATATAAAAAAAAACGTGTCCTAAATGTCTCTAGATTACTGGAGCGTAATAATTTGTCTTAAGAACTTCGAAATCCTACTTTTGTAACATTATATAATATCAATGAAAACTCTAGAAATAAACGCAGCAAAATATTTCTTTATCCCATCAATATCTTTTGTGAATAGTACGACAAACACCGCAATTGCTGGAATCAGCATTGTTTAAATAGATTAAGACTTACCTAAGAAAGTTGTATGTATCAAAAGACAAAAGGACAGAATTAAATCAAGACTGGTTTACATCATGAAATTCATCCCGCAACTGACTCCACCTTGGCCAAATTTACTTGCTTTTGGCACAATATATGTAAGCTGTCCTGAATAAATACTGTGTGAACATAAACTATCACATTATAAAGCATCACAGTGTTTTAAATGTGAGCCGCACCAGGACTGATACATAAGTGGAGACAGGGCAAATTCCTTGAGTGGTGGTGGTGTGAATGTGGAGTTTAATCTGGGTAATGTGTGTTCTGCAAAACATCGCATTGACATACTTGAAAAGTTTACTTTATGTAAGCAAAAAAAACCTCAACATATTGTATTACGAAACAGTAAGATAAGATAAATCCAACATCGGACCATTCTAAATACCTTTCAAAACAGGCTGTAATTTATATGGCTAAATTTGCAGTGTACGTATATTTTCTTTTAGATGCCATTAGTAAATAGTCTTCTTTTGTTTTTTCATCTTTACCCACAATTATAAAAGAAATTGTTTATATTTCTTCAAATGTGCATCTTTAGATTACCAAAGTTATTGAAGCTTATAAAATACACAATTGTTAAAGTCAATAAAGCTGTGCAGAGTAACATATACCTTTGTTATGCTGGCAATAACCATACATTCACTGACACGTATAAAAGAATTACAGACGTAACTGAAGACTTGAGTCTGAAGTTGTGGTGCATGAGTGAGTCATTCACTGGTTTTAATGTGGTCCACGAAAACCCATTAACAAGATACATACCTGAACTAAAAGAGTAGTTGTTCATGGTTTACATAGATGGTTGAGAAGGAGAACCGATGACATCATTATTTGTCAGGGATGATAATGAGCTTGCTTAGGACGAATATTTACTTAGAGACATATTGTTGCATTATAGTAATTCTAACTAACCAATGTGACGCTTCGTCGTAATTTTAAAAGAACCTATGTGAAAAAAATATATATATTTGAAATACACATATCGTCGTCCTAATTCTAAAATGTCCTAAGTTGCATCGACGCTAAATTTTAAAAAGTCCTAAGTTAAATCGATCCATAATTTAAAAAGTCCTAAGCTAAAAAAATATTCTACAAAGGCCTATCGTCCACCCATGTTACTCGCAGTATTTATACATAACTAATAACATGGGTGGACGATGGGACTTTTTAGAATATTTTTTTTAACTTAGGACTTTTTAAATTATGGATCGATTTAACTTATGACTTTTTAAAATTAAACATCTATGTAACTTAGGACTTTTTGAAATTAAACATCGATGCAACTTAGGACTTTTTAGAATTAAAACGATGATATGTGCATCTATAATATAAACATGAGAATTAGTGCTGGAAAAAATATTGCTGTGTAATTCGGAAAAATAAGTAAATTATTACAAATTATCTGTATTAAACTCGCTAATTTGTATTTTTTCTAATTTCTATTTTTCTTATGCATTTTTTGTAATTTATATTGGACATCACGTGGTCTTTCTAAAGTTAACACAAGACGTCACATGGGCTTTTTTTAATTAAGAGCAAGCCGCACATTTGTACATATAAATTTCAACGTGCTCTCACATAGTGTTCATGGGAATGTACGAGTGATCATAGTTCGTACTTTTTACTAATCTTAAAATAGCAAAATCGCCTCTCCAATAGTTGAAAGAAATACATCATTTTAGTAAGCCCAAACAGAAGAGTAGAAATTGTTAAAAATTTTCATAAGTTCAACGCTAGTATTGAAATATATATACATTTATGAAAACTTATTGAAAAGTACTTATCACTATTACTGAGTTCTTCCCACAAATACATACAGTAAGCAAAAATTTAAATCGTACCCTTCTCTTTGATGTCAGAAATCCACGGTTCTTGGCTTTATGTAAATCGATTCTTCTTATGTAACACATCCGTTTTATAGAAAATTTAATGTATATTCCGAAAATCATATTCATTTTTTTATTTTTCTTTACGATAATGGACCAATAATTAAAAAGTGGAAGAGACTTGAAAATTCATGCAAAAAATTAAATCGTACCCTTTCGATTTTTTGATCATCTCATTCTTCCACACACTCAAAAATTATAATTCTTAACTGAAATTCGATTGAAATACAGTTTTCAATATTTTTATGTAAAAGGTTTCAAAATTTTGACTTTGATGCTGCTAGACATCCCGCGTTTGGAGCAGAAAATAGCTATATGCTGTGGATAGAAAGAGGGTTATTTTTCTGCATAGGAAAGGACTATGATATTACAAAGTTGCATGGGGGACGCAGTTTTAGGAGCCTAATATCTAATTCGTTGCCCAAGCATGCAAGAAAACGGGATTCTTGGGCAATTTTCATTGACGCGGACTCAAAACGGCAATCAACAAGGGCGAGCATATAAATATAATAAGCAAGATCTTTACCAGCTGGGGACTTTTGGCCCCGAAAATTGCATCTGAACTTCAAGAACAATTCAAAAGAACGGTTTCCACTCAAGCAAACAGAATCCGGAACAGGGAAATGGGCTATTTGGGTCAAAATGCGAGCAGGAAGCCATTCATTTGCAATTCAAATATGGCGCAACGTCCTAAATGGACCATGGGCTTAAGCGTTAGGATTCTCAATGACTGAAAACGTGTGAACCAGAATGGCACAACAATGTGCAACATATTTAGGTCAAATACGGTCGTGAAGATGTGGAAGAAATCTGGAGAAGCCCTTAAACCCAGATGCATGAAAAACACCATGTAACATAGTGAAGAAATTGTGATGGTTTGGGCCCCAAAATTTTGGAATTGTGTTGGAAGTTTATCTTCATTGAGTCAATCATCAACAATGAAGTCCAGCAGACAATTCTGGAGGGAAACCAAGTCCGCTGAGCGAGAAAATTGAGACTCATGTTGAAAATAATTTTGCACGTAGACGCGGATCCCAAAATTGTGAGAAGTTTATTAATCGGTACCTCGATTGAAAGGGAATTAATGATCTTCCCTGAGTTGCCTGACCTACTAACCTCAATCCCATCAAAAATTTATGGACATAATTGGCGAGGAGGATTTCGAACCGAAAATCGAAGCCCAAACATGACTTGCATGTTATTTTAAACGAGGTGTGAGTGAACATCTGACCGGTAGTGACAAAGAATTAGTAGAATTCATGCCGCGGCGCATCAAAGTTGTAATTGTAGTAAGCCGAGGGCTTTCAAACTGTTAACTAATTATTAGACACAATTTTCACTAAAAAGCCGCAAGGATACGATTTATTTTTTTGCATGGATTTTAAATCTTCTCTAACTTTTTAATTAGTGGGTCATAATCGGTAAGGAAAAACAAAAAATGCGTATCATTTTCGGAATCTACGTTAAATTACCTACAAGACTGATGCATTACATAATAATAATCAATTTTCGTCAAGTAGAAAACCATGGATTTATTACACGCCAGAATAGGGTACGATTTAAATTTTTGCTTACTGTATGTAACGTTATAGTCGGACATATCCTAATTTCTAAAATGTTTGTTATTTCCATTCTGTTTTCGACTAAAATCTAAAATTCGGCTGTGCTCATGCGACTTAAGCATAAGAGGCAATTGATCCTGAGGGTATGCTGCATGCATCAAAAATGATGTCTTGTTTCGCAGATAGTACAAAGTTATCAGATATATTTACATCTGCCTGGATATATTGATGATAGGAAGCATACATAAGCCATCAAATACAGATTGTTTGCGGGCGTGTGGTGTATGGAATGACTAGCTGCGTATTTATTAAGGGGTGAAAGCCCTTTATAAGATCCTTATGTCCGTCTGTCTGTCTGTCCGTTGGTCCGATAACTTTTGAACGAAAAGACATAGAGACTTGAAATTTTGAACGTAAACTCCTAACGTCAAGGGACAGGATGAGTTCGAAGATGGACCCTGTGGGTCACATCCTTCAAGGTCAAAGGTCATGAAATGTCATGTTAAGGTCAATTTTACGGATGGCACACTTCTTTCACCCCTTGCTTAAATGCGTGTAACGGTTTATTAAGGGGTGAAAGCCCTTTATAAGATCGTTATGTCCGTCTGTCTGTCTGTCCGTCTGTCTGTTGGTCCGATAACTTTTGAACGGAAAGACGTAGAGACTTGAAATTTTGAACGTAAACTCCTAACGTCAAGGGACAGGACGAGTTCGAAGATGGACACTGACATCGTCACCCGTGACGATGACGTCGTCACAGTGGCGAAAAGTGACGAAAAAGTGTCTCGTGTCAGTTTTGACATTTGACACATCATTTTTAACTATTTTTCAACGAGGAATTCAATTGTGACCTCCATTTTGACCTCAGTCATCTAAAAGTCATAGAGCATATGTATGTCAATGTAATAGGAAATTTGACGCTGATTGCAATGGTGACCTTTATTTTGACCTCAGAGGTCAGGAAAGGTCACATAAGGGTTATCAGCTGTTAAATTTCACACATCTGAGACACAAACATTGAAAACACGTCAGATGTGTAAATTTTAACAAATTTTCGAACATAACATGAAATTCACTTTGACGTTTAACACACTTCTTTCACCCCTTGGTTACATGCGTTGTAACGGTTTATTAATATTATCATGATGATAAACTGGGTTTACTTTGATGAACTTAAATAACGTAGTCGTGGTCGGACTGAAAACGACTGAATTGACATAAATGATTAGAAAATTTCATTAATGTCACTTTGAAAGTTTAATAGTTAAATGCAAACATTGCACGAATTAACTCTTAATTTAAATTACTTGACCGAATGATTGCCTACTCACTCGAGCAGAGGTAAGAACAAGAGTGGTGAGAGAAACAGGAAACCTGGCAATATTGACCCTTCTCTCACCAAATACATGCATAAGATAGGTTTCATGAAAAGATACACATTATGCATTGGTTGGTACTGAACTGAGGGTGTACACATATTTGTTGGATAAGATTTCATTTCATTTCATTTCAACTTTTATTTACGTGTAAATGGATATCAGTTAACAATAACTGGTTTGCAAACCATGACACAAAATGCTATAACTATATAAGAAGCATATTAAATACCTAACTACATTGCTCTAAAGTATATTCATAAATAATAATAGTAGTCATCAGAACGCTTATTAATTAACAATTCACGACACGATTGTACAAATTTAACAT